GCTGGTCTAAAAGGCATGAGTGGAGTGGTTGCCACAGCAGGGTAGATCTACCACCAAGGGCCCAAACAGGTCTTAGAAAGCAGGGGGCATAGAAATGGGGGCCCATCTGGAGATGATGCCGTTCTCAAGGCAAGCTTTGAGGTGTCTGTCGAGGCCTCTGTCGCCCTCGTCTCCCGCAGAACCACCCCGGCCACTCCTTGTCCTTGGTAAGACTTCCGTCTCCCGCACCCCCCTGGCTTGGTTGCCGCCTTGTACTTAAGCACTGACCCGTGGCAACCAGGAACTCTGTGCAGGCGAAGGCACGGTGGAGCATGGTGGCGGGAGTGCTTGCTGTGGCGGAAGGACCCCAGCTCTGCTCCCAGCGGGAGGGTCTGGCATAGATGCGCATCTCTGCCCCTTCTCTTCCCCAGCCTCCAGCAGCTAGTGGAGTTTTGCAGACCGGGGGCTCCAGGGAGCCCACTGACCCCCTTTCGGGTTCCTCCACTGTAAAAACTTTTGTCACAGCCCCACTCCCCCCGCTAAGCGCAGTGCGTAGTGCAGTGTGTTGCACTGCTTAGCCAGATGCTCCTGCCCCCCAAATCCACTCTTCACAGTTCCGGTTCCAAGCTCCCTTTCACACCAGAGCTGTCATCTTGCCCCGTTTCCACAGAAACTCCCCCCCACCCCCGCATCCATCCCTCACTTTCTGGGGTTTAATCGAAACTTCTGTGCCCTTGCTGCTCTTCAAATGACTGAGAGGCTCCCGGAGAGACGGATGCCAGTTGGATGGGCAGCGTTGCATAACTGGTCACGCAAGTCCCAGAAGAGCCCCTGGCACTTCGTGGTTGAGATGTGCTCTGCAGCGTCTTCATGAGGCGGGCAGAGGGGATGTCTGCCTCGCTCCCTCCCGTGACTCGGGACATCCGCACGGGCCCTAGGGGCCCGTCTGGCTTTTCAGAAAGGAGAGACAGCTTGTTAAGTCTTCCAGTCGGTTTTCAGAACTGGGAGCGTTTTGCATATTCTGTCAAAAGTTCTGTCTCCTCCCAAGTGCAGACATCGTGTCAAGAGAGGAAAATAGGCACAGGGTTTTGACTCACTTGGTTTTGGTGTCAAGTTGCTCGCCGTGACTAATTTTAAACACAGGACAGAGCAGCTGAGGAAATCAAACGGTTCCTGGTTTCTTTACCATTTCTCTGTTCACTAAACCGATTTTGCCTCTCCCATAATGCTGGGCTGCGGGTGGGGAATGCCAGGAGACGCGGAGGCAGAGCAGGCTGAGGAGAATGACGGGGGGAACCCGCGAGGGGAGAAGCGCCAGCGTTGGCAGGCGAAAACAGGAGAATAACAAGGATGAGAAGTGGCTTGTGCTGAGCCACCCCACTGGGCTCTCTGGGCCACCAAATCCAGGCTGATTGGCAAACACTGGCCGGCACTCTTTCTTCAGCCTGCCTGACGATGCCAGAGGACAAACCCCGGACCTTCCACGTAGGGAGCTCCACCAAGCATATCCAGACAAGCCCAACAAGACCCGAGCAAGCCTAGTGGTCACAGAACAGTGTGTGTCATTTGGAAGGGAGGAAAAAGTGGTGGTGGGAATGGAATGGAATGGAATGGAGTATCCAGCAAAGGACCGTGGCCAGCCGGCTGGACTCCTGAACAGGAATGCTCTAATTAGTAGGTGAGGCTACATTGCAGTGTTTTGTGGGATGCTCCATTTATGTAGGCACGATTTATTTCTGGGGGGCGTAAGTCTGACGTCGATAGAATGAAGTAGCACACATGTTCGTGCCTGCCACAGACCATCTGTGGCACCGCCCAGAATCCAAGCTACTTCTGTGGCTTCCAGCACCGGGAACTCGCCAAGCAAAGAACAGCATCGTTTTAGAAAAGCTCGTTTCTTTCCTGCTGCTTGGATCTAGCTAAAAAAAAAAAACCGGACTCTGTGCCTGCCCTGCTTCCCTTTCTGCCACTTAATCTCTCCTGTGGTTTTCAGAAACCCAGCCTGCCTGCCTCATTCAGTTTGTAGTTTGCCGTCTTGGCGGGGCTTCAAAGCTTGCTCAGGCTGTTGGCTCCCGACAGCGTGTCGCAACACCACCCATGTGCCACAGACAGCCCTGGCTTGAGGCCAGAAGGGGATCGGCAGGGCTGGCGCTTGCGGCCGGTGCGCAGCACCTGGGAGCCGTGGCCCCAACTCGGGTCGCAGACAGGTTTACTCATGCGCGTGTGCTTGCGTGTGTGGTCGGAAGCCCGGCACGTGCCGGCCTCCAGCAGGCCGAGCTTTAAAGCCATGCTAAGGCTGTGACTCAGCAGCTGGAGCACGTTCAAACACGGCCTGGCATGGAACACGTCGCTTTGCCAAAGAGACAGCAATGCACAAGGGGGTGGGGGGGTGCATGTGTTTGCAACTGGCTGTTGGAGATGAAGAGAAGGAAAAATTGTGGCCTGGGAACCTTGGCTGCTTTCCCACTGAACCAAAACATGTCTTCTGAGCCAGGGAGCTTCCTGCTTGTTCCCCAGTATAAGGCACTGTCGGGGACCCACTAGAAAGGAAGAGAGGCTTCTGGGGCCTGCCCTCCCCGTTGGTACTTGGCCCACGAGGCTCAGGGCTCCCAGCATGCACGGCTCCTTTGAAGGCCAAGTAGAGCCCCTTTGGCTCTGCCGACCTGTGACACAGGAAACCCCCTGTGGGCTTTTGTGGAGCTGCAAAAGCCAGCGCTCTTACTGGGTTGCATTTGGTACCGTAACCAGTTTTATTACCCATGTTTCTAGTCCTTGTTGGAAGAAGAGAGAAGCTCGTGGCTGTGTGAGTTGGCCATCAAGCCTGGGCATTTAGAGATGGAGGCTTCCTTCATCCTTTGGTTTCCCCTAATGCTCCTTTTCTCCCTCCCAGCTCACCCTCCATCCCATCCTTTTTCTTCCCTTTGGTCTCCCTGAACTTCTCCAGGAATGCCCTGTTCTTCCTGGTGCAGAGCAGCCTCACTTTTTGCCGGCCCAGCATTTCCTGCCAAATTTCAGTGGGCTGATGCGAAGTTCTGGAGATGCAAGAGTGATGGAAGGGGAAGGAAAACCTCTTCCTTTTCTTTCCTCAACATGACAGCTGCAATTTTTATGAGCTTCGGCTGTGATTTCAGTCTGCCGTCAGCACTGGCTTCTCCTTTCTCTCGTGCCTGATCCCTTTTCCCTGCAAGAATTCCTCTTCCCCCCATACTGGAAATGAGCTGCCCCCAGGAAATGAGCTCCTGGAGCGTGTGTGAGAGAGGCACCTGTATGAGCATTCAAATTGGCTGTGGTGTTTGCTGTCCAAATACAGTCATGGTTTCAGGGGCACCCCAAGGGGCACCTGGCTGCCGTGGGGAAGCCGGCCGAGTGCCGGAGCCCCGTCATGCTGCAAGGTGGCTGCCTCGGAGAGCGAGTGGCCCCATTCCTGGGTCGTGGCTCATGTTTTCTGAGCAGCCAAGTGTGATTCACCCGCACAGCCAGCTGGGCGTCTCTGCATGCCGATGACCCATCCTCACGAGGGCTGAGTTTTTCCTGTGCATTCCCTGCACAAGGATAGAATCTGCTCTGTGACGCTTATTTTTAAATCAAACTGGAATCCTGCCTTTAATGCTTCAGAGGGAAACTGGAAAAGTGACCCCCATCTTTGCTCTTGGCCGTGGAAACTAAATTGGCCACAGGCAAATGGCTGCAGCCGACTGCCCGTAGCAAGCAAGGCAACCGATTAGTCTTGCTTCCTTTTTGTGGAGGTTCTTCCCCCGGCCCTGAAAAAAATGGGAATATAGTTTATTTTCATCTTTTGAAAGGCAGGTGGGTGCTTTCCCCCCTCTTTGTGGACTTGGTTGTAAGCGAAAGAGATGGGGCAAAGCAGCCACTGTATTTTCGCTTCAGTAACTATCCCTCCGGAAGTGCACTGAAGCCTTTTAAGATGAAGGAAAAACTGCATAAACACTTTGCATCAATCGAGAGGAGAGGAAACCAGCAGAGCCGGGGGAAGGAGGGCCTATCAGGAGTCCTATAGGGCTGGGCTGGGGCTCCAAGGAGGCCAAATTGGTCCCACAGGCCCACTTCTTCCTTACAATCATGTGGACTAGGAACTTGCTACAAAAATGTCACCCAGGATCCTCCACCAGAACAGATTGTGCTTGCTGAATCTAAACGGATGCAGGTCAATAGGACTCGTGCCAGTCTTATGCATGAGCAGTCACACCATCAGAGGAAGCCGGGTGCAGCGGGAGATCCGAGGGAGCCAGGGTGTGCTGTTGCCAGCACCGCCCATGGAGGCCAGTCTGTGTTTGCCGTCTGACTGGGCTGCCTCCACGTCCCGCCTCACGCCGGCCTATTTAAGCGTCATTTGCTCAAAAGACATGCCAAGCTGCTTGCTGTGAAAGCAGCCGCGCTTATTTAGCTTCACAGCTAAATGGTTAAAAATATCAGCACGAAGCTGCCCCACTTGGCGGGGTGGGGGGGCACAGACCTCTAAGCCATAGAAATGTGCCTGGACTGAAATAGCTCTGGTGAGGGAGGGGAAACCCGTGCATCGTGTATGAGCATGTGGGTTTGGGGCTCGTCTTTCTTTTCTTTTTCAGCCATGAGATGAAGGTAATGCTTCGGAAGGTTGCGCCTTACCCTTTCCCACCTTGCTTCCGTTGCTCGGCTTCCCCCAGTAATTGGTGTTGCGTTCAGGGGCTTGTCAGGAGAATTAGCCCCCATAAAAGCTGCTTGTCTAGCCAGGCACCCCAGTGATCTGAATTAGAATGACAGAATGTGAAATCTAGGATTTGAGAGGGAGAGCGAATCTTGAAGCCCAGAAAAGGGGATGGAGTTTGAGCAGGAATCGGAGCTGGCGATATGCCATGGGCATGCCTCCTTATTCCCGGATTCCTCACCCAGCATGCCCTGGACATGCCTCCTTATTCCCGGATTCCTTACCTAGCACCCTTTAGGAGGATCTCTCCGTGGAAGCGGGCGTCCTGTCCGATGCAGCACATAACATCTCTTCCTTTCTCTTCTCTTCCTGCCAGATTCCCAGCGTTCCCATTTATCCTCCTTCACCATGAAGTTGATGGACAAGTTCCATTCGCCAAAAATAAAGCGGACGCCATCCAAGAAAGGGAAGCAGCCAGACCTGGTCGCAAAGACCCCCGAGAAGGTGGTGAACAAGGTAATCTGGCCAGGGGTGCACCTCGGAGAGGCTGCGCCCACGGCCAGCCGACAGAATGGGTGCTCGGTTGAGCGGGAACTGCAGCAGGGCTGGTGCGAAGGGAAGGGGGTTCGCTGGGCCCCTGGAAGAGCCTGCACCCCACCAAGGGGCTGTGGAGGAGAGCCCCCCCCAAAATGCTGCAGCCTGCCCTTCCGCTCCTTTCTCGTGTGGGCCCGGACAGCGGTGGTGGCGAGAAGGAGCGGTAGGCGATGCCGTGGCCAGCTGGCCTCCAGGCGCTCCCTGCCAACGCCGAGAGAGAGGCTGCGGATCTAGAGCGGCCAGTGGCCACAGCAGGGAGAAGCTGGAAAGGAGGGGGCAAGGCCTGTGTCTGTGCAGCAGAATTGCCCACGAAAGCACCTGTGACAGGAGAAACGCACGGCAGCTTGTGGACAAACGTTACCTGGAACTGGAGGGAAAAGGAAGAAACGGATCCCCAAAGTTTCGAACGAGCTTGGATTTAGGGTTGGAAGAGGGGGCAACTGAGAGGAGCCCTGCCGGGCAGATTTGCTGTCGTTAGTGGGAGGCAAGCAGTGCAGGGCCTGGCACAGACGGGGTTTCCGAGCGACTGCTGTGGCCAGGCGTGGGCACATGGCCAGCGGCTCGAAATCCGCCCAGTAAATGCCTCTGCTCCCTGTCATCTGTACAGCGCACTTAATTTCCATAAGTGTTTTACAACCTTTGTTTGCAGCTGCCTTTGCTGCCCTCGCAGAGGGCCGCGAAGCGACGGCAAGGCCGTTCTTTTGCTTGCTCATGCATCTCCGTCTAAACGTTGGCGGTGGAAGCCGGGACGAGAGGGAGTGGGCTGGGAGGGAGGCTGGATAGAGCCAGCGGAGAGCGGTGGGATGTCGGGCCTCGAAGGGGACAAATCCCCACCCGGCCACTGGCAGGGATGGGTGACAGTGACATTGGTGGGGGATCTGAGGCGCTCTGGGCTTGAGCCGAGCTTTCTCCAGCATGGTGCCCTCCGGGTCCCAGAATTCCTAAGAATTTTGGAACTTGGCGTCCAACCCTTTTGGTGGACTCTTTACTGATCTTCACAGAATTGTTGTGGGGACAAGATTAAGATGGGGACATGTCCTCTACCGTAAACTCCTTAGTGGCAAATTGGGAATAAAAATAGACCCCAAAGCTAAGCAACAGTCATAACGGAGGCAGTGTGGTGTACTGGTTAGAGTGTTGGACTCTGGTTCGAATCCCATTTGGCCATGTTGGATGATTTTGGGCCTGTCCCTTGCCCTGACTCTACCTTACAGGGCTGTTGTGACAATAAAAATGGGGAGGAAGGGGACCCTCTCAGCGGCCTTGAGTTCTGTGGCAGGGCAAGGAAGGCAGCGGAAAAATGCCCCAGTCCGAAGAGCAGAAGGGTTTGAGGCCCCATTTGGCAATGGAGCTCCCAGCATGACTGGGCCAGTCACCAACTCGCAGACCCCTGCAGAGTAAAATGCACTCACAGATGGCCTCCTTGGAGGAAATGGCAGGCTTGCAAACACACGACGTGCATTGTGGCCGGCTTGGCCCCTAGCAGGTCTGGAGCAAACTGCCCTGCTCTTCACTCGAAAAGCCTCACTGAGCAGATTGTACACCATTCATGAAGCAAGCACTCCAGAGAAGGGCACACAAGGAAGGAGGAATGGGGAGGGAAGAGGAGCAAATGGGTCGTCTGGCAGAGTTGGGGGATGGTCCTGCTCCGGACGCTTGGCTGTGTCAGAACTGCCTGTTGGACTATCTGCTGGCGATGGCCGTCGAGGGAAGAAGAACTGCAGAGCTTCTCTGCAGCCACGGAGGCCAGAGTGACCTATATGGCTCTCCCTCCTGCGGTCCTCACAGCCGCCCTGTGCGGCTCCCCTGGTGCCGATGCTTTATTCTTTTCAGGATTGGGAGAAACCCCTTTATTTCCCTGCTATTTTAATGTCTGCTTGGTTTTAACTGGAGTTTTTATCTTGGGTCACCAGATGCTGTGCTTGTTTTCTTTATTATATTTGTTCTTTATTGTAAGCCATCCTGAGACATCAGTGGTGGATGGGGTAGAAAAGTTTTAAATAAATTAATTTATTTTTTATTTAAAACTTTTATAGACTGTCCCTCTACTGGCATCTCGGCACAGTTTACAGCAAACAAGTAAAATAGGAATTAAAATGGCACAGCAGGCAATAATACAATAATCTAAAACACATTAAAACCAATAAAACGTTAAAATAATGGGAAGATAAAAAGGTTTTTGCCCGGCTCTGAAGAGCAAAAAGAAATAAAATAAGCAGGTTAGCCTAAGCAAGAGCGCATGCCGCAGGACCCCATGCTGGGCGTCATGGCAGAGCGGAGGCTTGAGACCTGGGCCTGCCACAGCCTTTGTCCAGAACACTAACCACTGCACCCGTCAGTCTCCGAGGCTGCCAGCTCCTATTCTGTTCTCTGCAGCCAGTGGCTTCAGTCAGGTGGGACCGGACTGATCCGTTGGCCGGATGGGGCAGGGGAGAGGCTGCCTTGAGCACTGGGGAGGGGGCGGCAGGAGCCACAGCCCTGGGGGTTTTCCCTCGATCTGCTGCAGAGCCACGGAATGGGTGTTCCAGGGCAGATCTGTGCCGAGTGTATCGCGTGCCCGCTGTTTGGATGTATTTATTTTGGGGGCCAAGCCTGGTAAACCATCAACTCCAACTGAAGCGGAAACAGCTGTCGCCAAAAATAACATTAAAATGCCTGATCACAGCACAGAAACCCAACAGCCCCTCCCTGGCTGGAACCCAGAAATAAACTGCTCTGGCTTCTGCTGGGCGGCGCTCTTTCTGGGTCAGCTGCTTCTCAAGCACAGTTTGGTTCATAACGCTCACTGCAAGAGAGCGATCCTCCGGATTCGGCAGTGCTCCCCTCTCTCTGGATTGCGGGAGAGGGGAAGGATGCGTTAGGGTGCCGTGGCCAGTGCTTGATTCTTGGAGCACGTGGGAGCAATTGGTTTGAGGAGGTTCCAAGACCTGCCAAAAGATCAATGCTGGTTTCAGTCCCCTAGACTCTTCCCACACGTATGGGTGTTTCTTTGTCCTAGGAGGTTTTTCCCCCGGCTCGACTTTTGTAGTTCTGACTGCTGGAGCAACATTCCATTTCTGGAATGCTAGTGTTCTAAGTGAATGGTGTGTTCTTTTTAAAAAGAATTCAAGATTCTAGCACTCAAGGCTGCAGATATTCTTGAAAGGATGTGAACAAGCCTTGGCTAAAACTTAAGCATCAGGAGAGGCTAGCAACATTGTGGTCATTGGTGCGGCTTCAGAGGCTTGAATATCTCTTTGCCCCTGTCCAGGACTAGCAAAACCAGGATAAATGATAGAAAAGAAGAAGAAAAGCAGATTTGTTCAGATTTCCATAATTTGTTCAGCCTATCCAATCCAGCCTCTCCTTGCTAAATTTAGATTTAGTGGGTGCAAAATAGGCTCGGCTCGGCTCGGCTCGGCCTTTGCAGCATGGCATACACACAGTCCCTGTCATAACTCCCTGTGTTTGGACCTTCCACCCAGCATCTGATGAGGATGGGGCAGAGGGTGCTTCCTCAGGAGTAGGACTGCCAGTGCATTATTCAAGGCTCTGGCTCAAAGGATGAGTCCTTGGCGGACCCTGCACAGGCTTCGGTTGCCTTTAGCACTCTGCTAAGACAGCATCCTCCTGTGGCCCAAGCAGGAGGGGGTCCAGCCAAGGGGAGCTGCTCGGAGCTGTCCAAGGTCCTGGTTCTTCTTGCTGTGTCCTGGCTGGCTTCAGAAGCTCCCAACAGACCACACGACAGGACTGCCCCATCCTGTGTAGGGCATTCGCCAGCTGGTGCCTGGTTTCTCCAGACAGGTGTGCCAACAGTCTCGATTCCCTTTCCCCCGAGAATTGGCACGGCTGCTCGTTATGGCAGAGATGCAGAGTGGCTTCATCACCTGGCATTCTTGGGCAGTTGCCAAGACCCTGGGTGGCAAGGCCAGCGCTGATGCTTGCACAGGTCCTCCTCGTATTGCTTTCCCCAAACTTGCCCTCCAACTGGGCAGCTGCAGCGCACGGTCTCTTGAATTTCCCACTGCTCCTTTGCCCACATGCTGTCTGTGACCTCTCCAGGAAATCAAGGGGGTGGCCGGACGCCACGGCCCGAGTGGCTTGGAGCACGTGCCATGGCAGGCTGGCAACCCAGCCAGCAGCTGCTGACACAAGAGGGGGCCCTGCCCAGGCCTCCTCAAGCCTGGAGCCAGCTTTGCACAGGGTGCCACTTCCCCCTCAAGCAGTGGCTCTGGGAAGGGCTTCCAGCTGGCCGATCTCCTGCGAGATCCTAAGATCATCTCGGAGGCCAAGCGAGATGAGGCAGGGGGCTGTTGAAGAGCGGTCTTCTCCGTGGTGGCACCATGGCTGTGGAAGGCGTCTCCCCGTCAGGCTTGCCCGGCGCCTGCTCGGCAGTCCTTCGGGCGCCTTTGCCACCTGGCCAGGCTCTTTACCTCTCCGGTCTGCAAAATGCATGTTGGGCACATTGTTCTTTGTGCTGCCGGTGGCCATTATCTTGCGCCCTACTTGCGTTGTGCGCCGGAATGGTTTTATATTATGCCCGACCGCTTGTTATATTCTATGCTTTTCAGCTTCCTCTTTCGAACTGCCCAGAGAGCTTCGGCTAATGGGCAGAATGCAGATGGGATCCATAAATGAGAGTGCACACACAGGCACCCGTGTTCACACTCAGAGAGGCCTGTCACTCCAGCCGCCGGCCTTTGGCGCGAATCACAGTCCCTTAATTCCAAACCGTGTGGACAGCTTCTGCCCGTTCCGCGTACTTCCCCAGAAGAGCCGGAGGGGGCAAGAACACCCCTCTGCTGCTCCCCCCAGCCTCTTGTCCTGTCCTTGCCAGGCTCCTTCTCTCGCCACCTGCCTGTGTTCCTCTTTTTCTGCTCTTTCCTTCCCAAAAAGCACCGCCGTTGGTAGAGAAGGAAGGAGGCTGTTCTCTGATAGCAGCACCCAACACACAAGGAGACAAATGTGGCACCACAGGCACATCCTCGAAATGGAACGGAACTCAACTAACCCAGCCTGCTGCTTCACCATCTTCTTTCTCTCCGACTCCCACATTCCTCTCCAGAATATAACTTGGCTGGCGGAGAAGGAGAAGGAGGTGGTAAGCGCCCTGCGCTACTTCAAGACCATTGTGGACAAGATGGCGATTGACAACAAGGTGCTGGAGATGCTCCCGGGGTCCGCCAGCAAAGTGCTGGAGGCCATCCTGCCCCTGGTCCAGGTGGACCCGCGGATCCAACAGAGGTGCGTTGCGGCTTGTGGCCGGGCAGCGGGAGGGGTGGCCTTCATCAGGGAGGGAGCAATCTCAGGACCAGGCGTGGAACTTCCCCAGAGAACTGCAGCCAAGCCTGGGCTGGCATCTCCAGGTTGGTCTGCGGTTCTTCCCCTGGGGCTGCGTCTGGCCGTCAGTTCCTCTCGCTGCAGACAGAGGCCCTTCCCAGCTCAACGTGGGCTGACCAGGCAGGTGCTGTGCTCCGCCTTACACTGTGGGGCTTCCATTCTGCCCCCCCCGCCCCCGTTTTCTCCCCTCCACCCTGATGTGGTGCAGCTGGAGAATTTTAGTCCCAAAAATGAGAGCCTGTCTTCAGGCAGCCAAACTACTCTGTCAGTCATGAAGCACAAAACTCACCTTCTCATGTTCTGCATATGCCACAGTGAAAAAGAGCTTGTCAGTAACCGGAAATGCACTCCCCACAGTGTGGTTTTGCAGTGTAAACACTGTGAAATACACTGACCTGAATGCAGGAGAAGGGAACTTACCTCTGTGGCCCGGATGCTGGGACCCCGCGAGGCTGACTGCTCCCCAACACACCCGTTTTGTTAGGGTGCAGCCCTCTGCATTCTTCAGTGGGGAAAGCCTCCAATACTGCCCAGCATTTCCCAGAGAGCCATCCTGGGCCAGGAGCTGTAACGTTTCCCTATCTCAGCATGCCCAGAATTCAGTCTAGTGGAGAGGAAGCCTGCTATATGTGTGCAGGGCCATTTCAGGAACTCCGGAGAGTCTGGCCAGAGGTTCTGCACCCCTGGCACAGAGGCGCCTGTGCAAAGGTGGGTGTGGAAGGACACTTCTAGAAACTTCCTCCCCCTGTACTGCAGCTGCTGCCTTCTGGAGGCCTTCTTGCGCTCAGGGGTGGAGGGGCATCTCTAGAGGTCCAGAAAGCCTCATCTGCAATAGGGGCATTTGCATTGTGTGCTTGGACTGGGAAGCTTCCCAGAACGTGGTCGGGTATGTTCTGGGGTTCCTCAGCTCCTAATTTCCCTGTAAACACCCAGCTGTACAGCCCAAAACATGCCCCTTTGCTTAGCTTCTTGTGAACTCTGATGGGTGTCCAGTGTGTGGACTAAAAATAGATGCACGCAGAATCTGGTTATCCATTACGAGCCATCAAAGAAGCTGGGTGAGCGAAAGGTCTGAAAGCGGAGTTCATCTCGACTGCGTAAGAAATACACATTCAGAGGCATAACATCTGCTCAGGTCAGCAGGTGGGAGAGAGGTGAATCTGCATAAATTATATCCTGCCCGCTTCTCTTCATGGATTGTTGTTCCTGCAGTACCGCCATCTCGTCCTGCTATAGCCGCGTGTACCAGAGCCTGGGCAATTTGATTCGCTGGTCTGATCAGGTGATGCTGGAGGGCATCAACTCTGAAGACAAGGAGATGGTGAACACGGTGAAAGGCGTCATCAAGGCTGTGCTGGACGGCGTCAAGGTAGGGTGTGGGAGCTTCCGGAGCGACACGCGGGCTGCAAGGGTCTCCCTGATAGTTTTTGTGCCCCTCCCCTGGCCCGTCCAGGGGAAGAGTATGGTCCCTGGCAGTGAGGCAGACATGACCATGGAATTTGCCCAACCCTGCCTGAAAAGAGTGAGCTAAAATTGCTCCCCTCCAAAAACCATCGGTAAAAGTTAGGCAAATCGTCCGTTGGCTCACCTGGCTACAGGTTCTTAGGTTCTGCTGCTCAGAGCTTGCCACGCTGCAACACTCAACCTTCAGGGGAATCATCCTGACATGCCTTTCTCATCCCGGGCACAGCTCTGCCGCTTGGATTGCCCACGTGGCGATGGTGACGGGCCACGCAGTGCTCTGAGGGAAACGCTTCCCAGGACAACGCATTTGATGCTTGTGTGGTGACGCTTCATTTGTCCAGTTTTCGCAAGCTCTGTTGCACTGAGTGGTATTTTCTCTGCCTGGGGCTGTAATATCGTTTTGCCTTTTCGGCTGGCCTTACATGAAGGGCAAGAAACGTGCAGGACACGGACAGCCCTCTTCCTTGGACCTTGTTCAGCCCCATCCCTCTTCCCCATTATTGAACTTTTGGAAAGAGCAGGGGAAATAGCAGGATGCTGAATCGCACTCAGGACTACTTTTATGCTGTGAGTCCTACTCTAAAAAGTTCAGATGCACTCCTAAGTCATCATTACTGGCAGTAAGAACTGTAAGCTACAATTTGCTGGTATTTTTGGCTCCAGTCTTTTTGCCTTTGGCACCCCCTACCACTGGAATGTACTGCCAGCCACAACCCAGCATTTCTCCAAAATGGAATCCAGCCCTTGGGCTGGAAGAGATTCAGTAGTGCTGGCTTCACCACAGTATCCAGAACACGTTTGAACATGCAGTGGTAAGCCAGAAATCTAGGGAATCCTGGCTTACCGGGTGTATTCATTCCGACTTTATGAATCCTGGCTCCTTCCACCAGAAAGAGCAGCTAAATTACCCAGGAACAGTGGAACCAACCTGAAGAGTTTGTGGGCTCTTCCACACTGGAGGCCTTCTAGATGCTACTGGGTCACCATCTGAGAGGGGTGCTTTAACCTGGAGCCCGACAGTGAGCAGGGAGGGCTTGGGCCTGATGGCCTTCTGGCTCCTTCCAGCCCTACTCCTGTCTGATTCTATGAACTGAAAATTTACTGTGGCTTCTGAAGCAGGGCCCCTGGCTTGCTGTTCCCAGCACGCCAGAATTCCTGAACCAAGAAGAAACCTTGGTTTGTTCTTCTGAGTTTTAGACAATATGTTAAGCTTTCAGTTCCTGGATGGTTTAGCTGGTGGACAAAGCAAACGGGGAGTCAGCGGGCTGCATGTCGCAGCACGGAGTGCCTTCGCAGCAAGCCAGCGTTACCAGACATCTGCCTTGCTGTAGCGTCTGAATGTGGCCACCTTGAGCAAAGCAAGCTGCCCTTCAAGACGGCTTGCTTATTCCTGGGACTCTGCCTATGCCCCATGACCATGAATTTGCCAGAAGTCCAAAAGCGATGCAGTTCTTGCTATGGAGGTGCCTCTCTTGTTTTGGCCATTGCTGAGGTCGGGATCCTGAGGCAGAAGTAAAACCAGTTTCCCCGATTTTGTGGTTTCCGTGGTCATGCAGTTTTGCATTTTGGGGAACGAAGACAACAGAGAGAGCAGAAGGAAGGGAGTGGGTGCAGGCAGGGAAAGCACACTGAGGCTGTCTCTGTAACCTGCGGCACGTGCTTCATGGAAGGAAGGCAGCCTTCCCGCCCCCGGAGCTCTCCTGGGGCTGCAGCACCCAGCGTGCCTCAAAATCGCCAGTGTGCACTGGGGCTGATGGGAGTCAAAATCCAGACCACCTGGAGGACCACGTGGGGGAAGGCTGCAGGGGCAGCCTGGGAACCAACGAATCTGGGGGAAAGGCAGGCTTGCCGGAGGGATTTCGGGGCAGTGAGAGAGGCGTGCAAGAGGTAGGAGTGCCATGCAAGCGTTCCCAGCACGTGGTGTCGCTGGGGAGGAAGGGCGGACCAGCAGAAGCATTCAGACCTGAGTGGAAGGGTGAACATCGGTATTGGTGTCTCGAACTGGAAGAACTGAAATATCCGAAGGGAGCAGTGGGGCGCTGGATCTCTTTCTGTAGGTCGGGTCACTCCACAGTCCTTCAGACAGTGGTTTCTCTTCGTGCTGCGCTAAGGTTTTTTGCCAACATAGGGAAAACAAGCTCCTTCGGTCTGGGGCCCTGGTGTGACACAGAGCAGCCAGCCAGAATTCGGACAGCCAGCTCGTCGCCCCCAGAGCAGCCATCTGTTGGGGCTCTGTGCACGGTTTGTGTCCCACCCATGAAGACTGTCTGAAGCCGCTTTGCACAGAAACGGGCCATGGGAACTGCATCGCTCAGGCGTGTCTGCCCTGGTCGGTAGTGGCAATCCGGCAATCCAAGTGGGAGCTTTCTCTCACCCACCACCTTCCTGGGGGCTAAAAGACTGCAATCCCAGGGAGGGAGGGAGGGATGGACAGACGGAAGGAAGGGAGGGAGGGAGGGAGGGAGGGAGGGAGGAGAGAGGGGGAGTCTCAGAAATAACCTGTTCAGGCTTAGGGTGGTTTGAGATGCTGGGTCTCTGCTGGGTTTATGGGGCAACCATAAAACACAAACAAACAAAATAACCGCAGCCCATTCTAACAAGTTGGCATCATGGCAAGAACCAAGTCGCTCCTATCTTATTTCTCAAATACAAACATGAGTGGGATTAAAAATAGCAGCGCCGCTGTAACGGAGCTCATGCAGCTGAAGGGGTTATAACAGGAAAACACCGCAGAATGGAAGGAAACCCATGTCACCTTCAAAATGCCGGCGGTGTGGTCGGCACCTGATTGTGTAACGCAATGCTGCGGTGCTCACAGCAGCATTTGAAAGGAGATTTTCATTTCCTCCCAGCAGCCAAAGACTTCGCTTGTGCCCGTCCGTTCAGGCCATGTGGCAGCCGCCTGCCCTCGGCTCTTCTCTCCCACAACCCTTCGGCTCACATACCCAGTGACACTCCTTAAACGCCGTCCCCTCGCATCTTGTTAACTTCTGCTTTCCGGTTTTCGCTTCCCTCTCCTTCGCGTCTTGTGTTCACGTGCTGGTGTGTGTACACACACACACACACACTACAGATCTTTATCTAGGAGTCAGCATTTCTCCTTTTCACTTGGGACCTTGATAGATGACTCGGCGACAGGGCTTCTCGTGATACGGCCACCCTCTGGAGGCACTGTGGGGAGACCGCTGGCATTTTTATCGCTTCCTCTCAGATCGGGGCCCCAAGGTGCCTTTGCACAGCCTCTGCCGTCGTTTAGGCAACAGCCAAGTGAAACCCAGCATGTCCCTGGCCTTCACGTGTGCGGGCGGCACTGGGGGAAGTTTTAGAGGCGGATGAGGCGCTGGTGGGGTGGAAGGGCTAAGTGGGATGTGTGATGGCTGGGAAGGGGCTTCAGGGTATTTTGGAGCATCCTTCCCATCCTTCATGGGTAAATTGTGGGAAAGATTGCATGGTTTGTGTGCCTCAAAGAGTTCAGAGTTTCTTGGAGCACGATCTGATATGTGCCTCACACACCCCTTTTCCAGGGATGCCCCCAGTCTGGGGGTCTTCCCAGTTTCTCTTCATGGCAACCCCAAGAAGTGGCGCAGTCCGAAAGTGCACAATTGTGCCAAACAGCCTAATAACAGGGTAGGAATCTGTACCCCGGTGTAGCCAGTGCTAGTCCTGCTTAGGGCAGACGTACTGAGAGGAATGTGAATTAAGGCAGCCAGGACTAACTTAAATCCCATTTATCTCAACAAAGCCAAAACTCACAGGCTTTCAAACATGTTTTCAAAGTCCTCTATATATTTTGCAGAACCAAAACACCTTGGGCCACTTCAAGGAATAAACCTGTGTGATTTTTCCAGGACCTTGAGGCTTTGCCTCTCCGTTGCATTATTTTGGACATTCTCCAGTCTCGTTTCACCAAGAGAGGAGAGCTAACCGCAGTTCTTGAGAGAGCACATTTCATAGTTTGGGGGAAGCACAGAAGAGCGCCCCCCCCCCACCGAACCCAGCAAACGGGCCGCGGCTTCTCGTGGTGCCCATTCCTACAGATCTGAATCCCAGGCAGGATTGTAGTGAGATGGGCACTCGCTCAGGAGTCTGCGGGGTGGCCGCTGTGGCCGCGGGGTGCCTCCAGCGTGCAAGGGGGCTGGACTCAATCAATCCTGTCGATCTGATGTGCTCCCCTCCGCCCAAGGCGAGGGATCCCCGAAGCAGCTTTGGGAACCCCAAGAGTGAAGCAGGTGCGGGACGGCTCCCAGGGGAAGCGGCTGCTGCAGCAGACCTGGGCTGAGCTACTTGCTCTCTCTTGTGCTTGGTACTTAGGAGCTGGTCAAGCTCACCATCGAGAAGCAAGAGCACCCGTCCCCAACGAGCCCAGTGAAGCCCAGCCTGCCTGTGTGTACATCGGACAGGTGAGTGCCAGCAAGGGCCGTGCCATGTTGGGCGTGTGTGTTGTGGAGGGTGGTCTTCATGTGCACTGCTGGCTCCCTGGTTCCCACCTGGCTGGGCCCAGGCGGCCACCTCCTGACGGCAGGGCCAGCAGGGCAAGGAGAAAGCCTGGCTGCTCCGGGGCATGGCATCCTTTTGCCTCTGGTGGGGCCCGTCTTGCGTGCTGGCTGGGGGTTGTGGGCCCTGCGGCCGAGTCCACCTGGAGGGCACTGGGCAGTGAGAGGCCGGCACAAATGCCGGAGGTTTCTCGGTGGCCCAGTGGGAAGGGGCTCTCTTCCGGTTCCCATACATAGCACTGGTGAGTCTCATCCAGTTCTGGGCACAGACAGGTTGGAAGGGGGTCAGAGGAGGGCAGCAGGGTGATCCAGGGACTGGAAACAAAGCCCTGTGAGAAGGGTATCGGGAGAACTGGACATGTTTAGCCTCAGGAAGAGAAGACTAAGGAGAGCTACGGTAGCACTCTGCGCGTACTTGAAAGGCTGCCACACTGAGGAGGACCAGGATCTCTTCTCGAGTATCCCAGGGTGTAGGACACAGAATAATGGGCTCAGGTTACAGGAAGCCAAGTTCCAGCTGGATAGCAGGAAAAACTGCCTGCCTGTTAGAGCAGTACAACAGTGGAACCCGTGCCCTGGGCAGGTTGTGGCTCGTCCACACTAGAGGCATTCAGCTGGAGGCAACTGGACCGCCATCAGAGAGGGGTGGCTTGCCTTGGAGTCCTGCACTGAGGGGCCACTGGCTGCCTTGGCCTCTTCCAACTTGATCTTTCCATGATTCAGTCCTGTGCAGCTTTCAGAGCTGGGAGCTATAAGCCATTTTTCTTCCTAAACTTGCATAGGATTGAACCATTAGTTGTTTTTAAGTCAGGTTACAGCCCCGCCAAAGGGTTTTGAAGATTATCTCGGTCACTTAATATCTCAGTCTGAGTATCTAATAATTTAGCTGTTGTATCTTGTCCATGGGCCACTGGAGAACAACTCGGTGCATTTTGAGGAGTGGGAGGGACTGGGCCATACAAATGCGTCTGTGTTCCTTACTGTGCCTTGCACGCTCTCAGGACTTGGCGCCGGATTGCTGTGCAGTCTTAAATACGCACACAGCCTACACTCTGCTTTTTCACACTCCTCAGCCCATCAGAGCTTCCCTTGACAGATCGCGAGATGGAGATTCTCAGCAAGACGACAGGGATGGCTTCCACCACAGACGCTTCGGCCGATTCTGTGGATGAAGAGGTTGCCCCTCCCAAGCCCCCCCTTCCTTGCATCCGGGTGGCAGAAAACAGGTCAGTCGGGCATGGGGAAGCAAGCAGAGTTGCCACTCTTAGTCCCCTGCCCCTTCATTTAGGACAGAAGGAACACCAGGTGGCTTCCGGTGGTTTTCTGGGCTCGTACATCAAGGGGATCCTTCCCGCATTGGCTTCTCCACTGTGGGCCGCCCCCAACGCACCCTGCAAAGAGTGCATTTGAGAATGTGTGCTGGGTGGAAAACGGCAGGCGGTGGCGAAAGCAAGTAGAGATGAAGGGCCTGCTCGATTTCCTTGCTCTCTGAAGAAGGCATCGTCTTCTCCTGATGCCAGCCACACAAACGTTTCCGAATGGTGCCGAAGAAGGAAGAAAGGCCTGCTAAATCCCACGCTTCAAGCTTTAACCAAAAGGCAAAACAAAAACCAAAACAGAGCCCACCCATGCCTGCGGCAGCGTGTGGTAAAGCGCTGTGCACATTGCGTGGTTCACTACAAGCGTGTGGGGTGCTGTGACCATCAAAGCTTCAGGCTGCTACACGTTTCCTGTGTGATTTCCTCAGTTCTGTGAGCTGAGCTGCACTGCTTCCCCGGCAAGGAAACTATCTGCTTTGCACCGCTGCCATCCAGATGGTCCGGCTGCATCTGCCCCGTTAGAAATGAGCCCCCTCCCTCCTGAGCGGAGCGTGATGCGCGTCTTCCCCCCAGACGGCATGGCCTCTCCGCCTTTCCTCTGGGACAGCAACAGAGGCAGGAGCGTCGAGCCCCAGACCGAGGGCCTGCTCAGCACATCCAGGGGCCTGCCTGGCCTGGCCGCTGGGGTGTCCCACAGCGGTGCCCGCTCTCCTGCAGCCACTGCCCGCTGGGTTGTTTGCGCGGCGGTTTCCCCAGTCAGAACTGATTTGATTTTATGCCGCTCTTGCCTTCCTGCCCAGGGCAAGCCACTCCGAATGGGCAAGCGCACTTGGTTAGGGTTGGTCAAAGCAGTACTTGGCAATGCGGTCAAAGCACGGCGGCTGCAGGACAGAGACGGTGAGAGACAGCGGCCGGATCACCAGGCCCCCTGACGGGTTGAAAGCCTGTCGGCAAAGCGTCCTTGGCCTGCTGGCGGAAGCGCACCGGGGAGGATGCCAGCCGGGGCTGCTTTGGGAGGGAGGTCCACAGCTCGGGGGCTGCCAGCTGAAAGACCCTCTTTTGGGTCCCCACCAGATGTGATGGTCTCGGCAGGAGAGCCTCCCCGGAAGTCCGTGAGAATCAGTCGGGCTGATGTGGGAGCAGGTGCTCTCGGGGCCACTGGGTCCCAAGCCTTGGGAACGCCTGTGAGGCTGGCCCTCGGTGGCTGACCCCCCCGGGCCTTCCTCTCGGGCTCTGCCCTCTCCCGTGTTGCCGTCAGCCACTGGAAGCATCCGTGGAAAGGCGTTCAGCTTCAGCCTCGTAGGGATCCTGTACGCCTGGCTCAGGCACTCGCATGCAGGGTGCTCCAGACATTGCTCCCGAAGCATTACAGTTAGCGGCTGCATTAAAAATCAGCAGACCATCTGTTGTTGCCGCTTTCTCTTTTTTAATCCTGAGGAGTGGTGTCTTACTGACTCCTTCCGTCCTGGCTTCACCTTCAGTGAGGAAACGGTGGTTTCCTCCCAGCCAGGAGGCTCTGTGTGAAACCAGGGTCTGATCCTGGCTCGCTGCCCAAATTAGTAGTGCAGAGAATTCGCTGAGCTGGCCTGTCATGATCAACGCAAAGGAGCATAAATCCCAGCGAAGCACTCACAGCATCAGGGACCCCCGTTTTAGGGGAAGGCGCAGAATGCAAGGGGGCCCCAGCTTCTTTAGGAGAGGCATTTAAATACCCCTTTGACAGCAGTATTAACACACGTATGTCAACGCCTCTCAGAGTTTTATTCTTAAAGAGTTTATTTCCTAAGGGAAACTCAAGAAACAAGGCCGTTGCATGAGAGGATTGTAAAACCCCAAACTTTCCAAGATGGGTACGGAAGCTGATATTCCACCCTGCTTTCCTGGAGTTTGCTTGTTGGTGTTGGTGGAGAAGTTCTTGATTCATGTGGAAGGCGTCCCCCTGATGTTTTCCTTTCCCTCTCTTCCGTCAGCCCCCCTCCCGCGCTGCCACCCAAGAAGCGCCAGTCCGCACCGTCTCCCACCCGAGTAGCTGTCGTGGCGCCCATGAGCCGGACGACCAGCGGGTCCAGCTTACCGATCGGCATCAACAGACAGGTGAGCGCCTGGTCGCTCTGGAAGCAGGCAAGGTACCGGCCGGTTTAAGAGTCTAAAGGAAGAAGAGAAGTGGGTGGAGAATGCTGACAGTCAGAAGGTCAGGCGGAAAGTGGCCCATAAAAGGGAGCCGAAGTGGAACCGAACAGAAAAAGGGGAAGATTGAGGTCAATTCAGAGGCACCGTAATTTACTCTGGAAAAGCCGTCTGCGCCAGTGCTGCTTGCAGGAGCGGCCTCCGAGCCTAGCTTGACAGCAGGGTTTTAAAAGGAGAGCCTGACCTGTCACGGGTCAAGGCTCTCACTGGCTGCAGGACTGAATGGAGAGGGCCCTGAGCACAGGATGCATTTCCCTACTCGGAGCTGGAGCTCCGAGTGATCCGAGCGGCCTGAGGGTTGCGCCCTTGGCAGGCAAATGAATCTTTAAAATGCGAAGCAGGGATTCCAGAAGACCTTTCTAGACAAATCAAGGCCTTTTCCTCTCGTATGGCATGTGTCACACACGGATCTGTGTGTGCCCACGCAGAAGAATGTCCCCCCACACTTTCTGCTTGCCTTCTTCGATAGAAGTGCCCCGGGGCTTGCTTGCTTATCATTTCCCTAAATTTCCCTAAATTTGCAGCCCCCCCACTTGGCAGGAATGTGATGGGTGAGCTTATGGGGAGGGACGAGGGGACTGTGAAAACAGTGACTTGCCTCAAAACTGTTTCATTTCCGTCCACCAAAGTGCCAAAAGCCAGACCACCAGCTGTGAATGGGGCTGTGAAGAGAGTCCCCAGCACGGCTCCCCGGAGCCCCGTTTAACCCACCTCCCCTCTGCTCCTGCAGGACTTTGATGCAGACTGCTACGCTCAGCGGAGGCTGTCGGGGGGCAGCCAGTCCTACGGAGGGGAGTCCCCCCGCCTCTCCCCCTACAACAGCATGGGCAAGCTCAGCAAGTCGGACGAGCAGCTCTCATCGCTGGACTGCGACAGTGGGCAGTGCTCCCGGAACACAAGCTGTGAAACGCTAGGTGGAGTGTGGGGGGGCGGGGGGGCGGGCAGGGAGAAGGGGGTTCTGCGTGTGGTTAGATACACACAGGTCTCTGCCGTTACAAGGCTGGCCCCCTGCGAGGTGAGACCCACGCTGCCCCCCTCTCATAAACCCCATCAGGCTGACACGCAGAGCACAAAGACTTCATCCGGCGCTCATATAATGCCAGTTCCATTTGTTTCAGTGGGTCAGCTCTCAGTAGCACCAACATGAGATGCAACCCGATTTCTCTAGGATAGCTTGTCGTGTCAGAGAGTGCCCTGGGTCAATATCCCAGGGGCCTTTGGATGACTCGGGCAACCCCTCACACCTAGTATGGGTAGAAACATACCAGCTGCTTCTCTGAGGTCAAGAAATCAACCTTGCGGAGCGGAGCGGGGGAATGGGGTGTTCCGGGGGGAGGAGGCCAGAAAGGCTGGGAAACTCTTCATCCTGAGTTGCCTCCAGCGGCTTCATTCTCCTCCCCGGAGTGCCGCCACTTGAGGGGTCGCAAAGGGTGTCTGTCAAAAAGGCAGGCGATCGGGTGGGGAGGAGAGACTCGCCTTGGTCACGCCCCCTGCCGGCTGGCCTCAGCGCAGCAGGATGTGAGACTCGCCACGGCCTCCGAGTTCGGGGTCTCTGGAGCAGCGGGGGCACAGCCCGAGGGGTCGCTGCCTCGGTCGAACTTCTGCAGGCGCAACCCTCAAAAGCAGGCAAGCCTCCCGTCCCGTCCTGTCCCGTCCCCCGCAGGATGTAGAGCCTGCTCTTCAGTATCGTGGGATGTCCGAGTTGTGCGGCTGGTGCAGCCAAGGCCCCTTCCGTGGAGAGCTCCCCACAGTTTGCCCCCGGGCTTTGGCGCTCTTCGGCCTCGGTGCCGGTGCCCTTTCCTCTGGCTGGTCCGACTCACGCCCTCCCCCCTCCTCCCCCCTCAGATCACTACGATCCCGATTATGAGTTCCTGCAGCAGGACCTCTCGAACACCGACCAGATTCCCCAGCCAGTGTCCGGGGCCCTCAGCCCGCTGCCCGAGTCCCTGGGGGAGTCCGGCTCCCCGTTCCACGGACGCGCTTTCCAGCTGCCGGAGCACAGCAGCCCCTCGGCGGCGGTCCAGGCGGCCGAGATCCCGCCGGCTCTGCCAGAGAAGAAGAGGCGGGGGGCCGCTGCCCCTCCATTCGACATCTCTGGCTGCCGGGTCTTGTTCGAGAGGCACCCCTCACAGTACGACAACATCTCGGAGGAGGACTTGCACAACCCGGCCTTGATCCCGCCTGTGCCCTTCACGCCTTTTGCCGCCGTGCTGCCCTTCCAGCCGGGGAACGCTCCTGCCCCCGTCGGATTCCTGTCGGACTTTGCTGCTCCAGAGCCAACGGGCGACTCGGAGAAGCCGCCGCCGCTGCCAGAGAAGAAGAACAAACACAGTGAGCACAGCTTTGGTTCTGAGGGGGCGGGGGGGGGGCGTAGTGTGGCTGCCGCTGGCACCCCTTTAACTCGGGAAGCATCCCCCATAATTTGGTGGCAGAGCACCCGCTCAGAAACCGGAGGGCCCCGCCAGCCTTCAGCTAAAAGAAGAAAACTGGCGGGTACAAAGGAAAGGTTTTCTGCCAGAAAAACTGGCAAACTGTTGCTGGTTGGAGGAGAGCACCAGAGGGACCAGGGTGTGGACTGGGACCACTGAGGGGCCAGTAACCAACCAGTAAGAGCTCTGGTGCAGGGGCCCGTGTCCACAGCTGTTTGCCGCACTGGCGGAGTGCCTGGTGTTGTACACGACAGACTAGCGCCTCCGTCTGACAGTCCGTGGGTGAGAGAATTTTGCTGGGATGTGTGTCTGCGTTTCTTCCTTGTGTGTTTTTCCTGGACTGGCCCCCTGTGCGCGCCGAAGGACCCAGGCCAAGGGACAGGGTGCTGTTTGGCCCATACCAGGCATGGTAAATCTTAGACCTGGGCCCCAAAATACGCCCCCCCCCCCGGGGGGTCTCAGTTGGTGGCGCACATTTTCCCCAGTTCCATACCGTTTTCCGCAACAGCCGGTCATTCGGCAGTTTCCCACCTTCTGCGCAGTCTCCCCCCCCCACCCCTCCCTGGCCGTTGCAGAAGTGACGTGCCTCTCCCGAGGCTTGTCACTGGCAGTAGGAGTGTGGCACTGAGGTGGGCTGGTCTTGTGCCCTCCCTTGCCTCCAGCCCCACCCACTGTGAGGGCTTCTCTGCAGCAGAATCCCATCCGTGGACTGAGAGAGGCTCCGCACCCTCTGTGAAGCAGAAGTGCAAAACCTGGGCCCCCGGGGAGCAGTTCCGGCCCTCTGAGGACTCCAGAGAGGGATCCCAGCAGAGCCGAGGTGGGCCGAAGGCAGATCAACATCTGTTTTGAACTCCCTCTCCCAGAAGCCCCTGCCCGCACGGCTGATGGTCAGGAATGCTGGGACCTGAAGCCCAAAACATCTGGAGGTCGACTTTCTGCCCACCCCGGCTGTCAAGTGCTTGGTGCTATCTCAGAACTACAAGTCCCAGAATTCCCAGGGAGAAGCCACTCATCCAACACGGCTGTGCCCCTCTGCGGAAGGGGCGAAGTGGCGCAGGGTCTGCTTGGCAGGAACGGGAAGGCCGAGGGAGCATGGCTCCCTGCCAGCCGGATGCCCTGATGCCGGTCGGGCCGGGCAGGTGTGGGGAGGGTTGCCGGCTGCCTCCGCGTGCGTGACCCCCGGCATGCCCTCCATGTTGCAGTGATGGCCTACATGCAGTTCGTCGAGGACTACTCGGAGCCGCAGCCCTCCATGTTCTACCAGACGCCGCAGAACGAGCACATCTACCAGCAGAAGAACAAGTACCTGATGGAGGTGTATGGATTCAACGACTCCTTCAGCGGCGCAGACTCTGGCCAGGACCTGGCCCCGCCGCCTGCTCTCCCGCCAAAGCAGAGGCAGCTGGTGAGTCGGTCTTCCTCACCCTGACCCCGAACCTCACGCACCTCTCTGCTCTTCTCCCCCAGCGGAAGGAAGGGGACGGGTGCCGTCCTCGCTCTCGTTTCCTGCTATCGCGTGTTTCCACTGCATGTTATTTATTTTTGTCAGGGGTCTCCAGCCTCTTTCAGCCCTGGGGCTGCATCCCGGTGGCGGGCTGGGCCAAGGGGCAAGACAGCGCAAGGGCCCCAGATGATGTGCGGATGCATATATTGTGTTGTAAGCCGCCCCGAGGCTTCGGCAAGGGGCGGCATAGAAATGTAATAATAATAATAATAATAATAATAATAATAATAATAATAATAATAATAGTAGTAGTAGTAGTAGTAGTAGTAGTAATAATAATAATAATAATAATAATAATAATAATAATAATAATAATAATGTGTGTGTGTGTGTGTTAAGGTTTTTACTGCTAGTAACTCAATCTTAGGAGAAGAATTCAGCCTGTTAGAATGGGGCAAATCTCGCAAAAGCCAGGAAGACAGCCAGGGATGAGCCAAGGGAAGGGGGCGTGGCCGTTTTTGGACCCCTGGAGGGCTGGGTTTGGCCTGTGGGCCTAATGTATTTTTTTTCATTCTTGACTTATTTCATTTCTACCCTGCTCAATAGCCAAGGCTTTCTAGGTAGTTTGCAGTTCCCGAAACCTTAAAATGCCATGCAAGCCACAGGCCAAAGGTTTTAGCTTAACGGGGCCCTGAATCCAAACGCAGAGAATTATGGGCATCCCATCAAGGACAGAAGTTGCTTGCAAGGAGCTTGCCCCTGCACCTCCCCCCACCCAAAAAAGCCATCCTTAGACGCAGCCTCAGTCCTTCCCCCTGTGCTCCCGGCAGCAGCTGCCCAGCACCAGCTCCGGGGTCGATCTTCCGTCCTCGGAGCTGTGGCTGGCTTGGAAGGCAAAGGCAGGGAAAGGGCTCCAGGGGAGGGTGTCCACACTGACCTTAGAAAACTCCGGTTTGGAGGCCGGCACTGGAATTCCAGGCCTCTAAGCATTTGCTGTACAGCATTTAAAGGGCAGAAACGCCCCCAAGTGGAGCACGTATCAAAGATAACTCAGGGATCCAGTTTTAAGCAAGAGACTTCCAGAACCAGGCAGACACGGAAGTTCTTACTGTGAAGTTGGGCCAGACCGATTCTTCTCAGCACAGTCGGGTTTGCCAGGGATTTTCATTTTGCGATTCTGAGGTGCTTCCGAGCACTTCTCTGCATTTGTTCCATGTAACCTTTGTGCCTCTCTGTGATGTCTCTGGTGCATATCCCCCTTTTTGGGGAGGGGGGGCTCCTGCGGAACAACCCCCCTTCAGGGCGGGCGTCCTGTTCCATGTTGCGGCAGGCTCTTCGCCTGCACGTGCAGCCAGCAAGTGGCAGGGCGGGGGATGTTCTGGCCACCAGTGGCTGTCACGGTTTGCCCTGCGCCCGTGAGCCAAGGGGGTTGCCCACTTAGTGAAAAGGAGGAGACGAAACAGAATACAGTGTCTGGCACGCTCCCCATTCAGCCTCTCTGCCTGATGTGGGATTCCGGCTCCCCTGACTCTCCAGAGGAGGCTGAAGGGGCTGCCGTGGGACAGGCCAGGGCAGCAAATGCCACTCCTGCCGGTGCAGTTGACCTGGGATCAGTCCGGACCCAACCCCGGTCCTGCCAACGGGCAAGGAGATCAGGTGGGACGCAACAACCCTGCACCCTCAGCTGCGTGCTCTGAGCTGCCGCTGGCCTGGCTTGCGTTGTCTTTTTCTTCCCCTTTCTTCCTTCGGCTCCTCTCTCTGCCTCTCCCTCTCCCTCTCTCTCTCTCTCTTCTTCCCACAGGCCTCTTTTGCCACCTCTTCCTTGTCTTCTGTCTCCTACTGTGCCCAGCCACCTAAAGTGCCCTTCGCCCCCGAGGACGTCGGCACTGCTCAGGGCCTCACTATGTCCATCTCTAATTCCTTTCTCCACCAGCACAGCTCCTTCCCTATGCACTCGGTGAGTCATTAACGCAGGGGGGCTTTTTCTCCTCTTGCTTCCTCCATGGGGGGCCGGGGGTGACCTCCTGTCCTGGGAGCTAAGTAGCACACCTGGCGGCCTCATCGGGACGGGGTGGCCGAGCGGCAGAGCTCTTGGACCGACCCCAGCAAGTGGCTTGAGACGTCCAGAAGGCAAACGCTTTCCAGAGAAATGAGGGAGAACTCCATCTTCCTTTCTGAAGGCAGGGATAGCAGGAAAGAAAACAGGAATTGGAGCCATTTTAGTTTGGTCCTTTGCTTTAATGACATTTATGAATCACGTGCACAAGAAGAAATTCTGAAGCAAAACACACGAGGCCAGTGATGGCGAACCTTTTAGAGGCCGAGTGCCCAAACTGCAACCCAAAACCCACTCATTTATCGCAAAGTGCCAACACTGCAATAAAACCTGAATACTGAGGTTTTAGTTTAGAAAAAACAACTCACAGCCAGTCCAAGCAATCCTTGGCAGCGCACCGACCAGCCATACGAAAGCTCGGACGGGTCATGGCTAATGAGTCGCGGCTCATGATGTCATTGCCTGGCGCCGCTACTCCTTTCTGAGCATGCGCATGGCCCCTACGTGCGCTGTTATCCGATGCTCGGCTGCTGGGGCGGTGCTGGGGCGACTCGGCTGACGTGCCGGCAGAGAGGGCTCTGCGTGCGTTGCCCGCTGCGGCACCCGTGCCAGAGGTTCGCCACCCCTGCACTAGGCAATCTTGATGGAACACTGCGTATTGCTGCCATATGTGGAAGACAGGATGGTCTTCCTGGGACCGCGTGTGGAAAAGGCGTGTCCCCTGGAAGTGAGAAAAGCCCCTGAGAGTTGGTCCCTGCCCAGTGGGCAGTTCAGAGGCTGGGTACTGCGCTGCTCAAGCCGGGCTTCCTGGCCGGTGGCTCGCTCCCGCAGGGCTCAGCGATGGAGCAGGCCACCGTGGGGTGGGCCGTCTCACAGCCGTCCCGCAGTCCTGCCTCTCCCCAGGGGAGCCAAACCAGAGGAGAGGGAGAGGAGGTGAAAGGGAGCCATCCTTGCACGGCACAAGAATCTGAGGCTGCGAATTCACACCTTGCCCTTAAACAGGGTGAAGCCCGTTCCCAGAGAATAGGATGCTCCGTGTTTCTAGGCAAGGCTGTGACCTCCAGCAATGGAAGCACCACGGTTCCACACACGGGCTGCTGGGAACATGCGCAGAACGGTGCTGCTGCCCTCGGCTTGTTCTTGTGGGCCTCCCAAGCGGAGCGGAGCCATCCCTTGGTCTCCCTCCCGAGCCCCGTCTGCAAGTTTCCCTTGCGTTCACACCCAGCTGGCGCAGCGTGTCCTGTTCCAGTGGCCGAGGGCAGGCGGATAAACCTGTTAAAGCATTAAAGGATGCAGCCCTCCTGCCCTCAGGCTGACTGAGGAAGCTGCCCTTGTCTGCACCCAATAATCAATGATCATCAATAATCCCCTTAAAAGGATGCATCCTCCTAGATAAATCTCTTCTCCAGCAGCTCAAAAGGCTCTTAAATCAACACGAGGGAAGGTAAATGAAATTAAATGGCTGGGCCCTTTAGTGCTCCTGAGAGACTGATCCTAAAGGCTTTACGCTCCTGTAGTTCTTCGCCCTGTTGGCTTGCCCGGTGCTCCCACGGGCTTAACCGGGCCTACACACAGCCCTGGCTTCTGATGAGCACATCTGTTGGGTTGAAAAAGGAGAGAATTTGCAGCTCCTTGGCCTTCAAGGGAGTTTATCCCACCTGCATGCCACCTGGAATGTGTTTTACCTTGGAGCAGCTAACCCACCACCCTCCAAAGGTGTCAAGGTACTGTGAGCTGGGCCCTTGTAGTCCAAGGGCATCAGCCTTGGTTTACTGCAGCATGAACGGATTCCAGGGCGGTTACGCCTGGAGAGGTGGCTTGTTGGCTGTAAGCAGCAGCCTTGGTGTTGCTTTGCGGGTTTAGTTCTGTTCTGTGGCTCAGTTCCTCCTCCTCCCCCCACTCCAACCCAGCACCTCTTTTGTGTGCTCTGGGGTTTGAATTCCACTTTCTCCCTGCAGTGACCTCTCTCGGAGGCGTACTGCTGTTCTGACTCCCGAAGGCTCCCCATGGGACCCCTTCTCTAAAGATTGTTTAGAGCGCTGTTCTCGAGTGCTGCTTGCACACTGAGGCAGAGTTGCTCTGTGCGTGTCTGTGTGTTCTTTTTGCAAAAACTGGGAAACCGGTTGCAGCGGGGAAGAGAGGCAGGGCTTGTGGGGTGCAGAAGCTCCCCTCGGTAGGGAGCTGCACCCTCTGGCTTGTTCCAGGCATTGCTTAAGTGTTGTTTTCCTAGGTTCGCATCTACAGAGAATTTATTAGCGTCTTCGGTGCCAGTGAGGCAGTGTATCCACTCTGAGCTTAACTTTAAGGAGGTGTCCGTGGTGCTGAACCTGTTTGCACATGCAGTTCAGCACCACGGACAACTCATTAAAAGCCCGGCTAAAACTCCCGGGGGATGCGCTGCTCAGCTGGCACAGAGACCCCAAGCCAGCCACTTGGATTTATCGGTTTGTTTTGAAAGGTCTCCTGCAACATGTTTCAGACCAGGTGCCCTCTGCTTCGCGCTTGTCCGGCAGGGGCTGCTTCAGCTCTGCTCTGCCAGGGTGGCGGGGCCTTGCATAGGCCAAGGGGCAAAGAGAGGCATCGTGGGTGGCCGACAGCAGCTGCTTGCTGGCATTTGCAGACCAGAGTGCCACAGCTGAGAGAACAGCCTGCTTCCCAGAGTGCTTATGGCTGAGCTGAGCCTTGGTACAGAAACATCTGTGGTGCAGCTCATTTCTCTCCTGAGTCATAGAAGAGCAGAGCTGGAAGGGGCCATGATGGCCATCGGTCCAGCCCCTGCTGTTGCAGGACACCATGTGACACCAGCCCACTCAGAGGGCTGTCCAGTGTCTCCAGTGTGGGAGAGCCCACCGCCTCTCCGGGCAGCCGGTTTCACTGCCGTATTGCTCTGACCGTGAGGAAGCTT